GTCGGGCGAGGTGAGGGCGCGGGGACCGCTGAGGGGACCGAGGCGTGGGCGTAGGGGCGTAGGGCGTGGCGCAGCAGTGGTGGTTGCGTGGCGTGGGGGTCCGGGCAAGGGCGTGGCGGTCCTACGTGGCCTCGGGGCGCAGCTCGGACATCCGGGCGTGGGCGCGGTTGGTGCGGGCATGGGGTGGGTGTGGGGTGGTCGCGGGCGCGTTGGCGGCGTGGCGCGGGCGGCCGGTGAAGGGAGAGGGCACAGGCGGCGGCGGCGTTGCTCTTCTCAGGGCGAGGGAGATGCGAGAGAGGAGGTGGGGAGAGGAAGAGAGAAAGGATTGGGGCCCATACGTAAGAATGGCTCGGCGCTAGTCACCCTGGCGCCGAGCTCAGAGACAAGATCTACGACGCTGAGCTCGGCGCCAAGATCTACGGCGCTGAGCTCGGCGCCAGGGTGACTGGCGCCGAGCTTCCTACTGTCGGTGTTTCGGACCGAGGGGGTCCTCAACCAACCAGTAAATTTGACTTGCGTGCCCCCAATCTCGGATGGTGATGCAAAGAGACACAAGGTTTATACTGGTTCAGGCAATCAGTACCCTACGTCCAGTCTAGGAGATCAATCTTGTATTCCTTGCACCGAAGTGCTCGTAGTAGGGGGTTACAAGCAGGGTGAGAGAGGGAGCTAGCCCCAAGTCTCGGCGTGGAACGGTGTGAGGTGCTTGAGACGCTGCTGTCAAGCAGCTTGGGAGCGTTGATGTTACAGGATGTGTCTAGGGCACATATGGGAGCGCGGTTCTCTCGTATGTTCTTCTTTTTTTCTCCCCCTCCCCCCGAGCTATCCCTGGCCGCTTCCTTTTATAACCGCAAGGAAGGAGCCAGGAGTACATGAGTAAGCTACATGTGGAGCCTACTGCAGTTTTGTCCTGTAGCAGCATGGCGTTGGGAATGGAGATCGGTACTTGTCTGGCGCGCCGTGCTGGTCAGGTTTGAAGTGGTTGAGGTCATGGGGGTCCTTGTCGATGTCTAGTCAGTATGATTTCCACGACCGAAGACATGCCATGCTTTGGTGGACTCTTGACTTGGTGGAGTGTCGAGGCCTGGCAGGTCGTAGCTAACCGCGCCGAGTCCTGATTTGCCGAGGCCCTGGCGGGTGTTTGTAGCTGACCGCGCCGAGGCCTGATTTGCCGAGGCCCTGGAGGGAGCAGTTGGGCCTATGCACTGATTCCGAGGCTATAGTGACCTGGTTTAGGTGGAAAAGTGCAGGGCAGGGTAACCCCTGCACCGTCAGTAGGGGATGGTAAAAATGAGATTTGACCGCCGTCCCATCGCCCCTATTGCTATACCCTACCAATCGTGGCTGACGTAGCGGGTGCATTTAGGCGCATTAAATGGATGGGACAGCCTGCCAGGGGGATGGTTGAGGCGGAGGCGACGAGGACATGGGACGAGCTCGGCCTCGGCCGAGGCGGAGAAGGAACAGTACGTCCGAGGCCCTGCCGGGGGGTCTCGGACGAGGCGGAGAACGAGCAGTTGGGCTCTCCTGCTGTTGCTGAGACTACAGGGACCTGGACTTGACCTTCCACGCCGCTTTGTCCTTGGCGCAGGGGTTAGGTAGCACAGGGCAGTACGGGTGTCAGTTGGGAGCATAGTGATGAGCACAGTGGCAGGTAACCCCTGCTGCGCTCGGTCCCCTGCGCCGTTGGTCGTTCTGCCCGTACTGTACCCCCGTGCGGCTGACGTTTGCGGGAGTAGTTGGGCGCATTAATCCGGACGTGACATTTTGTCAAAGGAATTCGGTCGGGACGGAGGTTACGAGTTTGTTTGCCGAGCCCGGCCTTGAGCGAATCGGAGAGTTGGCATCCCGTCCGAGGCCTTTCGGAGAGGGGCCTCGGTGAGAGGGCCTCGGCGAGAGTGCCTCAGCGAGAGGGCCTCGGCGGGGTGGGGAGCTTTTGGCCTTTCGCCTGAGGCCTCGGCGCAAGGCCTCGGGCGAGTCAGAGAATCTGCTGAGACCTCACGGTTTGATTTTTGCAAGGTTTAAGCAATATTTTTGGTTCTTGCTTAGGGTACCCCTTCTTGTGGTATCCGACACCTACCATGTCACCTCCACGTCCACTACGAGCCCAAGAGCTCGGCGCCAGGGACACTGGCGCCGAGACGTGTTAGCTCGGCGCCAGCAACGATGGCATCAAGCTAAGGGTCCAGATTTTGAAATCTTTCCTCCAGGGGCATATTTGTGAAAAAAAATTCAAAAAATGGCTAAAAAATAAAAAATTTGGCATGACTGTTAGATTCAGAAGGTTCCAACAAGCTTCAGCAAAGGGGCATCGAAAGAACAGGTGGTCCAAGGTTTCTTCTACTAGTTGCCGACACAGAACACAGTCATAGGAATCCAATTCCATATGTCTTCTTCCTTCTCATAAAAAAATGGTATCCCCTGCCTTCATCAGTCGTCATGCTGCTGATGTACTCTTGTTCGGCTTCTTCCCGGGCAAATTGGATGAAACTTCGACTTCTTCGGGTCAAGGGCAGAAGGACGAGCGCTATGACGGCTCCCCACCCAAACCCTAGGACCCGTGGCTCCTACCCCACCGGCGCCCCACCCCTCCCCGACCCCTCCCATACCACTCCTACATCAGGCCCCAACTCTCCTCTTCCTCACTCACGCGCGGCTCGGCCAACGCCGCCGTTCACGTCGAACTGCTCCGTCGTCGTTCCCCATGCGCCAGGGGCGGAGGTCGCCGATGACCTAGAGCCATGCCTGGAGGCTGGATCTGGAGATTCGTGGTCGCCTGCTCTTCCTCAACCTCATGCAGACTCCGGTGCTAGCGAACGCGTGCGGAGCAGTCGCCGTCGGCGCCCGTGACCTCCTCCTCCACCAGTGCCCCTTCTCCAGCGCGGGCGTGGGGGCCACAGCTGGCTCCTCCCTGTCGCCGCCGTCGGGCCCCTCCTCTAGTGCCCCCGGCCGCCGGTGGCGGACGACGCGGCCGCGGCCACCTCCTCCACTGGCGCCCCAGCAGTGGCCACCACCTCCACCGGTGCCCCTCTACCCCTCCAATATCGGGGCCGGCCGCTGGCAGACCGCTGCCGCGCGCGGCTGTGGCGCTGGACTCCACCAGCCCTCCTCGCTCTCGCCGGATGCGGCCCCGTTCTACCCAGGTCCCTCCTCCGGAGAGTTGCCGGTGGGCGGACGATGACTGCGAGGAGTTAGACGACGACCAACCCACTACCTACCTCGACGACGTTCTTCGTCAGGCGCAGCCGGTATCGGCGTCCTCGGCGCGCGCCCAGCCTCGTCCTGCAGTGGTTGGGGGCCAGGGCGGTGCAGACGCTGGTTGGCAGGGACATGGGCAAAGGCCGAGGAGACGCAGTCGGCCATGCCCCCAGCTGGTGCACGGCCTGCCTGCTCGGCCTGTGGATGGTCGCGTCCCCATTCGCCAACGCCTTCGACGTCGCGGATGGGTCTCCGCCCCCAACGCTGATGGGTGGCGTGGATGGGTCTCCGCCCCCAACGCTGATGGGTGACGTGAGATTCTCCAACGGCAGGAGACACGACCTGCGGCCGCCTCGACCGAGAGGCAACTTCCGCAGGCCCAAAAGATCCCTGCAGAGCCACACGATAGATGTTTCAACTGCCTTTCCTACTCACACCGAGTAGCGACCTAACGATTGCCATGTCGTTGTCTACGTTGTCACGGCTACCGTCACCTCGCTAGGAACAGCAAGTGGCCCAGGCACGCCGCGGCGACGGTCGGTGGCAAGGGGTGACGGCTCATGGCCCTCCTTGCACTCGCCGAACGGAGCCACGCAGATTGCTATGGGGGGCACCAACGGCATCCGCCGACGACTCCGGCGGCGCCGGAGCAAGCTGCCGAGGGATATCAACATTGCCGCGACTGACCACATTGCTTCTTCTACTGCCGCACGTTGCTCCCACGAGTCTGATCTGCTCGCGGTGGCACTATGCGAGGGCACTGGGCCCCCCGTATAGGTCGACCCGATGCTCGATGAGCTCGCTGCCTCGCTTGTCGTGAGTCGATCTGCAGGTGCTCCAGCGTTGGGGCGCCCGTCTACTCTGACTGTGGCCTCTTTGGAGGCTCATGCATCATTGACGGACATCCATTCACCACCACGGATGGTTCAACTCAGCTTTGCGGATGCTGAGGCGCCAGGGTGGATGGCGACGATCTGCCAGTTTCGCCTACGGCCCTCGCCAGGGAGTTTGCTAGGTGCGTCTCCGCTCCCTCGAAGACTCCCATCCTCGAGGTGCCACCTCGGCGTCGAACACGTCGCTCTCCATCGTCGGTCACCATCCACCGTAGCACGCGTCTGGGGGCAAAGTGTGCCTCTCGGGCCCCTAACGACATCCTTCAAGCGCAGAAGGTGCTTGTGTCCAAGTGGGAACCCTCTGCCTCAGCCGTCGGATTCTCAGGTAGTTGTCGACTTCCAGCAGACATTCCAGGGCTCGTTTGACTCTGCAAAAAGGGCCACACTTCGAGCTCTTATGAAGTTCGACGTGGCGGGATTCGAGTGTATGTTCGAAGAGGCTTGCTAGTCTCGTTGGCACCTGCCCATTTGGTTGCATAACTTTCTTGTAATGTAATTTAAGTTAGGTTTATTTGGGTCGTATTGGCTTTTATCCTTCCACGGTAATCTATAGATTACTTAGAGACGTTGTAATCAGTCAAACTCTGCTTCTACTTAATGAAATATGTGTCCTAAGGACACGCTCGTGGAAAAAAAAAACTTACTTCTTTCAACAAAGGAAAGAACGGCCGCCTTGCCAATGGGGAACAGCGATATGACGCCATTTCCAAGGTCGTGGAATTCGTATGTCATTTTGTCACGTACTTTGTAATCACCTGCTAGGTGCTGGCCTTGGCAATCGATCGCCACGCTATAAGAAGGCACGAACCAGGCCTCTCTCGCCACACCACAGCAGCAGAGCAGACCTCACTCAAGCTTACACATACATACATGTCAGTTCTGCTCACCTTCGCGTGCACAAAACTTGCAATGGCGAACCGTGGCACCGCCGCTCTTGTGATCGCGTGCCTCCTTGCCGCGGCCAGCCTGGCGGACGCAGCAGTGCCGCCGCTGTCGCAGCTGTTCTGCAGAAAGGTGTACGGGGTGCAGGAGCAGGAGACGTGCTTCGTCGTGGCGCAGGCCGCCGGGCTGACCCTGACGCAGTTCCTCGGCTTCAACCCCAACATCAACTGCCGGAACCTCTTCATCGGCCAGTGGGTATGTCTTGATGCTATTATCGTTTCATAGAGTTCGAAGGCAAGCCACCCTGCGTACAACGTCGATCGTTATGTTCGTGCTATATATACTGTATTTCCCAAGGAAGAGTGGCGTGCTCTGAATAAGGAGGGGTCTCATGTCTATGTTTACCTCTACGCTGCGAGCCTTAGCTGAAAATTTCTACTTTCCTGTACTGTTCTGGAGTCCTCTGTCATCACTCTGATCCAGTATGGCGCTGTAACAGATGTGTCAAGAGAATGAACGTCAGTTCAGTTGTGTCTCATGTTCCATTCCGTGTTCTTCGTTTCTCACTTGCATTGTATGGCTATCCATGGTACTCATATCTGGACTGTGATGGTTACATCAAATGCAAAGGTGCTGTGCTCATCGAAGTACAAAACAGCTTTCTACAATCTACGCCTGCTTCCTATGTATCTTTGTAGCTCCAATAGTACTCAAGTCAAATTTATCATGTATTCTCTTTGTCCTAAAATAAGTGTTGTTTTGGGTTCCGTGCTGGTCAAACTTTTTTAAGTTTGACTAAATTTATAGAAAATATTATCAACATTTGTATCTCTAAATAATTTATTATGAAAATATATTCAATAATGAATCTAATATTAACTATTATATGCCATAAATATCAATAATTTCTCATAAATATTTGGTTAAGTTAGAAACACCTGACTTATCAAAAAGTGAGAATAACATTTATTTTAGGATGCAAGGAGTATGCTCCATATGTAAAGTATTTTTTTTATTTATATTATCTCTTCTATAAAAAAAAGATAAAGGAGTTATGTCTCTCTTGTGTTGGTACGCGCAGAGTTTTGCTCTTCTCTTCTCGCTAGCTCAAAGGTTTTTGGTTTCTCTTCTCCATATGACATCTAATTGATACTAACTTAGAGTGGCCCTAATTAGAGGCCTCTAACGGAGCCTCTATGTTACTCATCAAGAGAAGTGCTAGGAAAGAAAGATCTGGGAGAGTGCATCAGGAGCAGGAGGTGGGCGGTAGCCCCTCTCTGGTGACGATCTGATGGTGAACGCTCACCGGTGTATAGAACATCCGGCGACCCTCTGCCACGGTGGGATTCAGGCCCAGACAGAGGCAGATTTGGCGGGACAGGACCTCCAGGTCGCACGCAAGAGGCCTGTCGGAGGGAACGACGTCGGGGACTCACTGTCCTCCGACGAGGTTTCCCCATTATGGGGGTATGCCCCCCGGTATCTACAGGACAAGACATAGGCCGCACCATCAGAGGTGGCTCAGCCCACAAGATCAAGGCGTGCGGCGCACGGCACTAGTCAACGTGCACCGTAAGGCAACAAGAAAATATTGTAATACCAAATAGGATATTTTCCTTGTAACCCTACACCTCTAGAGTATATAGCGAGAGGCAGGGGTCCCCTAGACGATATATCGAATCATACACAATACAATCTACAAAGACACAGGACGTATGGTATTACGTCAAGCCGACAGCCCGAACCTGTCTAATCGCTGTCTCTTGCGTTCTGTGTCACCATCCGGTTTCCTCACGCGCACCTCCATCGATTCATCTACTACCATGGGCATATCCTTCGGTAGATGGCCGACCAGATTTCATCGACAGCGACGCGCCAGGTAGGGGGTGTGCGTGCTGATTCTATGGCGAACCAGATGGAAATATTTTTTTCAACCAACGTCGCCGGTAACTCAGCATTCGGCAGCAACTCAACGCTGGCACGCAACTGATTGCTTTCCTCGGCGAACGTCCGCACGTGCTAGAGTCCGACGCCTTGCCATGCGCCTCCAACAGACGCAACATGCGGCAACAAGATCAGAGTCAAGCAATCTAAGAAAGCTAAGTCAAGTCGCTTTCTAATTAAATATTGTTATCATACTTCCAATATATCTGTATGTCTGCATGATTTCGGTTGGGAGTGAAAGTGCAGTCAAGCCCTAATTGTGGGTTTTGGTGATAATGACCACGCAATTAGAGAACTAATGAGATTTATCGAGATGACAAACAGGGAATTCATGTTCGAGGATGCTACACGAAACGGAGGAGTCCCCAATTACAAATGTAGATGGCTTCAAACTCAAAGAAGGTTTAAATTCTTTTATATTTTGAATTTGAGTATAGAAAAAGTCGTACTATAAAGGGGGATACAATGCTTAAGCTAATATGTGCTACCAAGTGCTCAAACATACACATGCATCCTCAGATTCACAGCTAAGACAGTCTACACTTCACTCTTACCCATACTGTCTTGCGTGATGCGGCACTACCGCACTTGAAGAGAGGCACTGCCACAGTGCGGCACTGCCGCAACTTAAGTGACCGTTGGAGGCAGGAGGTATTTATACCCTTCCCCTTCCTCCCCAACGGCTCTCTGCCTCTTCTTCCTCACTCCAGCTCGTTCAAAACAGAAAGGAGCCTCTCTCTTCATCCATTGTTGACCTTGAGCCCTCAAGCAAATTCATTGATTTCTCCAACAATACTTGAGAGAAAAGGGTCCAAAACTCAATTAGAGAGCAGCCCCATTGATTCCCCAACTCAAAAGAGCAATTGGTTCACGTTTTCGCTGGTGGTTGTGTTTGTTACTCTTGGAGCTTGGCTCCTAGCCGGCTAGAGCGTCGCCCGTGGAGCTTGCCAACTTGTGTGGTAGCCCCGAGAGGTTTGTAACCATCTCTTGAAGCTAGTATACTCACCCCTCATGTCAAGAGTTTAGTCTCTTGACTTGAGAACGAGGAAGGGTTGGAAAGCCTTAAGCCTTAGTGGCTAACCTCAACAACGTGGAGGTAGGCAAGCCTTGGTGGCAAACCGAACCATGGGATAAATCATTGTGTCACTTGTGCTTGATTTACATTACTTGCATTTCATATTGTTGGTTGAGGTGATTTCTAGGGTTTCTAGTCAATCTACTTGTGTGTGGTGTTCCTACAACTTTTAGCTCTTGATCTGTGACTATCATACCTATAGTAGGCTGAGAAATTTCTCCTATCTAAGTTTTCATTCACTGATTTTGAACTATAACTCGAAGTTGTCTGCAGGTGCGGCAGTGCCGCTGTTTTGGTCTGGCAGTGCCGCCCTCCAGAGCGGCAGTGGCCGTCAGGGAGAATTTGATAAAAGTTTGAGTGTTTGTTTTGACAGGCCTATTCACCCCCCTCCCTCTAGGCCAACCAGAGATCCTACAAGTGGTATCAGAGTGGGTTACCTCATATACGCTTCACCGCGTGAGGTATGGGGCCCGGAGGAGGAACTAGGAACGTGAAGCGGGTGGATGTCAACACGGACAACAACGAGCTGAGAGCGTCGACAGCAAGCAACACCATGCTACCACATCTTGAGGCTACCTATGTCGAAGGAGCTCTCAATGAGAATGAGAGAAGAAGAGGGAATGAGGCAAGAAAGCTAAAAAGAGAAGCAAGAGAGAAGAAGGAGAAGGAACAACAGTTAGAGGACTAGAAGCAAAGAAAAGAAGAAAGAAGGCTCAAGTGAGAAACAAGAAGAAAAAGAAGAGAAGCTAGGAAGAAGAAGGAAGAAGAAGAGAAGGCAACAAGTACATCATCAATCATATCAAGTAGTTCCGAAGATGGAGATGATGAGTCATACCAAGTGTCGAAGGGGAACAAGAAGGAGAAGAAAGGAAAGGGCAAGGCCAACAACAACAAATATGCTACCGTATCCTTTAACTATTCTTCTATTTCTATGACTAACCATGATCGGAGGACTTTCATCAATGTGCCCGCGGGCAAGTTATCTCATTTCAATAGGACTAACTTTGCTAAGTGGAAGCACTTGATGAGAGCCTATCTTATAGGTCTTCACCCCGGCATTTGGAAGATTGTTTGCAATGGATTTAAGCCACCAGTTAATCCCAAGAACCCAACACTAGAAGAGATGAGAATCATTCACCTCAATGGTCAAGCCACAAGTGTGTTGCTTAGTGCCTTGGATGGTGATGAGTACAATAGAGTGATTGGAGTTGATGTTGCCAAGCAAATATGAGACACTTTGCACCTAGCACATGAAGGGGTTGACAAAGTGAGAAAGACAAGAATTGATTTATTGATGTCAAAGCTCAACCGGTTTGTGATTTTGGATGGAGAGGGGCCACAAGAGATGTTTGATAGGTTGATGACAAGGGTGGGCAAGATTAGAGGCTATGGTTGTGATGAGCTAGATCATCACAAAGTTGTCAAGATTATGTTAGAAGCTTATTCATCTAGAAATAAGACCGTAGTCACTCTAATTAGAGACAAGAAGAAGTTTGAGTACTTCACACCAAATGATGTACTTAGGAGGATCTTGACCTTTGACAAGCAAAAAGAAGAAGCAAATGAGAGGAGGAAACTTGGAGAATTGCAAGCAAAGTTAGAGGGCATCAAGATCCAAGATGTAGCTCTCAAGGCCAACAAATCAAGCAAACAAGGCTCTACAAGCAAGTCTAGGATCAACCAATAAGCTTCAACTAGCAAGCCCAAAGCAAGCAAGCAAGTTCAAGAAAGAGTAGAGACCACATCATCTTCAAGTGAAAGTGAAAATGATGACGATCAATATGAGAAGATTGATGATGTTGCTCTCTTTATGAGAAGGTTTGACAAGGGGCTAAAGAAGCAAGGCTATAAGGTAGTGAAGAGAAGCTTCCCAAACAAGAAAAAGGGGACAAGATACAATTGTGGAAGCACCGATCACTTCATTGCCAAGTGTCCATATGAGATCAAGGACAACAAATACAAGAAGGACAAGAAAAAGAACAAGGCCGAACATAGGAAGAGCAAGAAAAACATGGGAGAGGCTCACATTGGGCATGAATGGGACTCAACTAAAGAGAGCAAAAGTGAAGAGGATGAGAAGGTTGCAACCATTGCTATTCACAAGTCATCCCCTACACCAAGGCTCTTCAACAACATGTACGATGATGACTACTACTCCTCTCACATTTGTCTCATGACAAAGTGTGAGAAGATAAAATCCAAATCAAAGGCCAAATCTCCTCCACCTCCTAGTGATATCTCTAGTAGTGATATTAGCGATAGCTCT